TATCGGACGAAAAGAAAATTGGGAAATCGCTTGAGCTATACAGTAGAATTGAAGCTACTGCAGTAAAAAATGCTTTTGTAACTTTAAAAGATCATAAGCCTAACTTCAACAATAACCCCACATGCAGACTTATAAATCCAATCAAATCTGAAATCGGCATCATAAGCAACGAAATCCTCGGAAGAATAAACAAGAAGATAGTGGCATCAACCAATGTAAATCAATGGAAAAACACCGATTCTGTAATTAGCTGGTTCAAAAACATCTCTAACAAATCTAATCATTCATTCATCTGCTTTGATATAAATGACTTTTACCCATCAATATCTGAAAATCTACTAGAAAAGGCTCTCGAATTTGCATTAAAATTTGACAACATCACCGACCAGGAGAAGAACATCATTATCCAAACAAAGAAATCTCTTATTTTCAAGGAAGATACACCATGGTGTAAAAAAACGGGCAGCACACTATTTGACGTGACCATGGAGAGTTTCGACGGTGCAGAAACCTGCGAGCTAGTAGGATCGTATCTACTATCCCAGCTAACATCGACATATGGCAACAAAATCGGCCTATACAGAGATGACGGTCTAGCTGCATTTGACGTGTCACCGAGAAAGATTGAGTGTATTAAAAAAAACATATGCAAGGTATTTCGGGACAACAATCTACATCTCACCAAAGAAGCCAGCAAAAAAATCAGTTGATTACCTGGACATAACCCTAGATTTAAGAACCGGAACATTCAAACCATTTTCCAACCCAACAATACCCCCCTTTACATCCATCAACAAAGCAACCACCCATCGTCAACGATTCGTAACATACCAGAAGCCATCAATAGAAGACTATCTAACATCTCGTCTGATAAGGAATCGTTTGATACAACTGCCCCAACGTATCAAGAGGCCCTCCACAAAAGCGGCTACGACTACAAATTGAATTTTAAGCCTGTACCCACAAACTCAAAACGATCGCGCAGCCGAAATGTCATAATGGTTTAACACCCCGTACAGCGTGAACGTCGCTACCAATATAGGCCACACATTTCTACATATGGTGGATGAATGCTTCCCGCAAGAACACGAGCTTAGAAAGCTATTTAACAGGAACACATTGAAACTCAGGTACAGCTGCATGCCGAACATGAATAGTGTTATTAATTCACACATCAAATCTATATTGTCTAAGGAACTTCAGAAGAATAACCCTGCATGTAGCTGTCGCCAAAAGAGCGAATGCCCACTATCCGGTAAATGCCTCATCGAAGGGATTGTTTATCAAGCTACAGTAACAAGAGTCGACAACAAGAATGAAGAAACTTACATCGGTCTTACGGAAAATACATTTAAAACTAGATATAGAAACCATACTAACTCATTCCGTAATGCTAAATACAGAAATAGTACTGAACTAAGTAAATACATTTGGTCATTGAAAGACACTAAGACGCAATATACCACAAAATGGAAAAATATAAAACCAGGTAGACCGTATTCTAATACTATAAAACGATGCAATCTATGCCTACATGAAAGGTTTCTAATTATTTGTCATCCTGAGTTAAGTTCTCTCAACTGCAGAAATGAATTAATATCCACTTGTAGGCACAGGAGGAAATTCCTGCTAAGAAACCAGTGATTACTAATCCATAGATAAACAATATACCATCTAGACAATAGACCCTTTTAACCACCGCTAATCTGCTTCTCTATTAATGATGCTTAAGTTTTCCTTGTAATAACATCAGTTGTACATATCCGCCTGATTCGCTCTGGTTTCATTACCATTGGGCACTCTGCTAGTAATATTTGCAACACGTTCAACCGTTTCTA